AGTTGGGAGTAAAACCTCGACTGAATTTACTGATATGCGCAAGTGTCGATGCGATGCGTAACAACGGACGTGCGACCGAGAGAACTTCGCCCGACATCGAAAGAAGAACGATATTCTTGTAACAGGTCCAGAAGTTGGGAACGCTGTACGGCCGTAAGGTTGTCAGCGATGGAGGGGCCAAATACATCAGCAGACGAGGAATCAGAAGTGGAAACAGCATTGATGGTACACGACCTGGGAGCGTGCGTGTCATCGGGTACGTCCAGGACTTGTGCGTCGTCGACTGGTTCCACTCTGCCGAGACATTCCCCTCGAACCAAGGTAACAGTGTACGGGATGGGTTGGTTACAAAAATAGCAGTGTTGCCCTGGTTGACCTGCACGGTCGCCAAAGGTACTAGCAACCCTTTCCTGCTGCAAGCGCGGTCAGATGGCGAAACAAGTCCAATGGTGTCGGAGAGACCAGCGCAGTAGACAGACACAGCCGTCGTCGAGTTTGGAGGCACTGTTGTATCGTCTTTCGTTAGAATCTTGCTCAGTGTCGGGGGACTGTCTTCTGGCGTCAAATGCGAGAAGGGTGAGAGCTCAATTTCGGCGGCGGCACAATGGATGACGGCGTCATGGCGAGAAAGTCCCATCCCAGGATGACGTCATGAGAGCATGCCTGAATGACGATGAACTGGGCGACATACAGAACGTCCTGGATGACAACGCGAGCTGTGCACCCTGCTGTAGGATGAATCCGGTGCAAACTTGCAGTACGGAGGGATAACCCAGAAAGTGGTGTCGTCACTTTTCGAAGTAAGCGGCAGAGTTTTTCGTCCATAACTGATACGGCAGCTCCAGTGTCAATAAGAGCCGATGCACGAACACCGTCCACAAGCACGTCAATGACATTCGAGGGGCTGCTCTGAGGGCTTTCACATTGCGATAGCGTCGCAGTCCTTGCCTCAGGGACTGCGACGACTAGTTTTCCCGCTCATGAGCTGCCGCACTTGGCCGCATGGGACAGGGAACGGCGTCGTGGAGACGGTGATCTTCGAGATGGACCTGGGCGAGATCGAGGTGGCATAGACGGCGGTTCTTCGCGATAAGGACGGCTGAGTTGGCCAGCAACAGGTGAAGAAATTGGAGCCGGCTGTACGCGATGGCAATAACGGGCCACGTGACCGGCGTAACCGCAGGCAAAGCAGATGGGCCGGTGTCGGGTGTGCGCCATCTGTTCACCGGGGTAGGTCTCGCCCATGTCGCAAGGGCTGATGAACGGAACGGTGGCTGCATGGTGGACTGAAGCTGAGGCTGAGGGGTTACGTCAACATACGTAGCGGGCATACCCGCTGCAACGGACGGAGGTCGTGCAGCAGCTTCAGCGTAGGTCAAAGGGGCGGGTGCTTGAACGACTTGGGGTGGCCTGGCGACCACTTGCGCGTAACTCAGGGACGCAGGAGCCGGAGGCTGTTGGGGGTGGTAAGCAGGCATTACCTCCGCTATTTCCTGTTCAATCGCTCGGCGGATGGGAGGGAGAAGGGTAGTAGCCGATTGTTGAACAGCAGGTTGGTGGGAAAAGGGCAGGAGGGAGAACTGACGCGCGATTTCCTCACGGATAAAGGACTTCAGTTCTGCCATCAACGCCACTTGGTAACAACTGGCCTCCAAGCCAGCAAGCGTTGCAGCTCGTGGTGGGGAGCGTCGGGTCATCGAACGCTGCCGGCGGAGCTCCTCGTAGCTCTGGCACAGTGTGATGACCTCAGCCACCGTGCCGGGGTTTTTGGCGAGCAGCATCGTGAAGGCATCATCGTCGATGCCTTTCATGATGTTTCGGATCTTGTCAGACTCGGACATGGTGTGATTGGATTTGTTACATAGGTCGAAGACATCTTCAATATAGCTGGTGAATGACTCACCAGCCTCCTGAGCACGTTCACGCAAGCGCTGCTCGGCTTGCAGCTTGCGAACAGCAGGGCGGCCGAAGACGTTGACGATTGCGGTCTTGAAATCGGACCAGGTGGCAAAATCGGACGCGTGGTTGTTGTACCACAAACTGGCGACACCGGCAAGGTAGAACACCAAGTTGGTCAGCTTGCCGTCCTCGTCCCATTTGCTGGGGACGCTCACGCGGTCGTAAATGGCGAGCCAGTCCTCCACGTCAGTGCCATCAGCGCCAGTGAAGATGGGTGGATCGCGGATTCTGGGGACACCGGGACAAGGGGGTGGCATTGGAGGAGGCGTTTGCTGAGAAGCGTCTTGGTACATAGTAGATGGCAGGGTACGTGATCGCAGCTCCAAAGGCATAGACAGGGATCGCAGCACTCTCCACCAAATTGTTAAGGCGTTTATTAGCCGGCAACGAGCGAGAATATACAATGGCGACAGTCACAGCCAAGCACGGGCTCTCAGCGCGAGCGGCGTCCTTGTTGGGTAGCCCCACTAGAAGGTACTCAAGAGTTCGACCCATTTCATAGTTCGGAGGCTTCGCTACATTATTATTATTATTATTATATTATTATTATTATATTATTATTTTATGTTGTTGTTGTTGCTGTTGTTGTGTTGTGTGTGTTGTTGTTGTTGTTGTTGTTGTTGTTGTTGTGTTGTTGTTGTTGTTGTGTGTGTTGTTGTTGTTGTGTTGTGATGTTGTGTGTGTTGTGTGTTGTTGTTGTTGTTGTTGTTGTTGTTTACTGCAACACTATTAGTCTGCGCTGTTTCTGTTCCGCGCATAACGCAGTACCAATGTATACGTGGGGTAAGGGATAATTGTCAAGCCGCGATTGAGTGGCTTCTTTCCTCCTCAACCATGTGCTTGTCTATGCATGTCTGGAATAGAGACTTACACTCAGACTCATAATTTGGAGGGAGGCGCTACAATGGCGGTGAACCTTTGGCATCTCCTCCACAGGTGGGCTCTTGCGCAAAGTGGCCCTGTACATACCAGACTCCAAAATGCTGGACTCTCCTGCATTAGGTGCCGCCCGATCATCTGGCAAGGTAACACTTTCTCGATTCTGGTGTGCCCCAAACGAGTGCCATGCTTGCCCGTCACTACCACGCCCGATTCTATTCTCGAACTGAAAGCTTCGAATTTCATCATTTCCGAGCACACGTCGTTCTCAATCTCAACCTTTGCGTGGCAAAACGCACCGTAACGTTGTATAGCCTATTCGAAATGAGCGACATTAAAAAATAACTTCGACAGCGGCGCTCATAACTGTGTGTGCCAACATGTATCATCATACTCGTTTGTTAACGTGCCTCAGTTATCACGGTCTTACGTCATTGTTTCATGGCTTTCCTGTTACGTTACAAAGAGGCACGTGAAAGACAACGAGGTTGACCAGATTATATCCTACGTGTGACGTTACAATTTTCTAAAGGTTTTGTGTAGGAGGACAGTACAGTGTTGCCAACCACTTCTGTAAATACTCTGCATCATGGTCAAAAGCACCCTACTTTACCCCACACAATTTTTTTACCACCCTGCATTTTATCTCAGCCCTGAAATACCTCAATCTAACAGTATAGCATTTGAGACTTCACTTAACGACATGCAGACGTGTGGTGGCGCTGAATTTGGTATAAACTTCAGGAATTTCAAAGTTAGTTTCCAATAGATGATAACAAACATGAAAACAACAAATAGAAAAAAAGGAAAGCTTTCCGGCATTTGTATGTAAACAACATTGACTCGTAGCTGGAAAAGTAACTATAGGAGTCTCATCGGGCGCTGGCAGAGTAAGCTAAATGGCAGCAGACAGCGTTAAGCGGCACGTCATAGAGGTGGAAAATACGTATTCGTTAGCAACAATAGAAAGAAAGCGGCGCTGCAGTGTAAGCAGCGCGTCTGTGCTAAGTCTGACCCGCCGCGGTGGTCCAGCGGCTAAGGTTCTCGGCTGTTGACCCACAGGTCGCGGGATCGAATCCCAGCCGCGGTGGCCGGATTTCAGATGGAGGCGAAAATGCTTGAGGCTCATGTTCTTAGATTTAGATGCACGTTAAAAACCTAAGGTGGTTGAAACTTCTGGAGCCCTTAGATATGGCGTCTCTCATATTCATATGGTAGTTTTCGGACGTTAAACCCCGCAGTTATTATATTATATGCTATAGGCCTACATGAAACCGATAGTTTTAGGACCAACATAGGGCAGTTAAACAGGTCGACGTTAAAAAAAAAAAACAGGAATACCGAGGTTAGTCTGCGATAAGGTGCACAAATTTGGGCTGTGCATTTGATAGGTTTTTCTTTATATAGGATAGCAAACTTTATTCAGTTGGAATAGTTTAGGCCGCTATGTAAAAAAAAAACCAAGCCAACAAGTTTTTGAGTTTGCCTAAGCAGAGGTCATCGCCCCGTTGTAAAAAAGAAACGTTTTTAAGCGATTCATTTTTATTCTGCCATCTGGAAAACTAATATGGTCGCCTAAGCATTCGATGACTGGAAGGCGAAAGCCATTTTATTTTGATTCTTCTCATTCTATATGTAGTCACCCTCGAACGAATTCTGCACCTAGTGTGGTTTTTCATGGCCTCGGTGATTGGAGACACTGCAGGCTTTTGGCACGCCACGTGCATCTGGGTTCCGCTCCAAATTACCATTCCATGTGATGACGTTGTCATTTAGCACCAGCCCAGGTTTAGTTGCCATCACGGCGTCTCGTAATTTCGCAATCTGTCTGGTCATGATGAGGTGGCGTCCATGATAATTTTTTGCATCACTCGCGTTGACGCCTATGGTCACGTTTCGTGTTTGATGAGGCATCTAAGTCTTTGCCCTAATAACTGGACCCAAATGTAACCAGAAAATTTACCCCCCTTCGACCGGCCTTACTGAACGGTTGTGGCTAGGACGCCCTTCCTGTGTGTGTTTTCGTTTTTTTTTTTTTTTGAGTGCGCGTGCGTTTTTTTTTTTCTTTCTACCCTCTCTTTCTTGCCCCTACTTCCCCGCCCCCAGCACTGGGTAGCAAACCAGATGCCCATATCTGGTTAACCTCCCGGCATTTCCTTTCTTACTCTCTCTCTCTCTCTCTCTACCCCTCCCCGCAACGAACGAATGGGAGGGGACGGAGAAAAAATGAATACATGAAAGAGAAAAAACAATAGAAGCACAGAATAGTATGAAATATTATCTTCCGTCTCTGCCCTATGTGACATGTGAATGAAGGTAGCACCAGTTTTAAGCAATGAAATTGTTTGGATCTCTTCCTCACAAATGTCGCGTGGATCATCCACATTTTTTTACCTAATCGGTGATGAGCAAATGTAGAAAAGGTTACCCTACGTTCTCTAACAAAATAGCATTACCACCCTACTACCCTATACGCAGGCCGAATATCTCGAAAATTACATTCAATATAGGGTCATTTACCCTAAGGTTGGCCGCACTGGCTCAGTGTTTCGGAAGCCTGCATTTCTGTCCAGCATCGAGAAATAGAAGGTCCTTAATGAGTTAGGTTGAAATTTGCCTGTTCAATAATCCAGCATGCTACAATACATGAAAAGTGTTTTCATTCTCCGTGGGGTTTTATTAAATATGGAATCGTATGCACAGAGCACGTCATATATACACAACGTGAGTGCACGACAGACTCACCAAGAATTTTCCCTCCGTTAATTGTGTTGTGTGGTGGTGCTGAATTTTTTCAGTGATTTCAATATTAGTCCAAAGGGTGCTCTCCTAGATATACAGGTTGTGTAGTCTAGCAATGATCATGATCTTCTTCAGCCTGACTACACCGACCTGCATGTCAAAGGCATGTTGCTTCAATTAACGTGGCTCGCGATCACTGTGGCCATGTTATCCCAACATCCTAACCCTCATCTCCGAAATCCAGTCTCCCAGAATCCAGTCAATCAAACAATGGTTGTCATTCCTTCGGGATACATGCCCAGTCTTGACCCATGTCATTTGATCTCCAATAAGGTGTCATTTAATGCCAATAAGAAGTTACTTGAATAGCCAATTTTTCTACTTCTCACAGTTTGTCTATTTTCGCCTAACAGTATCATCACCCATTGACGTCACGTCCGGTGTTTTTTTTTTTTCGAGTGGGTAGATTCTTTACTATTTAGTATATACAGTAACAACTGCTTTATAGCATCTCATCTGCATTCAGGCTTCACGCAGATAACTAGGGGTTTAAGAGTGTAGTAATTCAATTTATGATCAATATCATCTTGCATAATCCCTCACATCTTTCGGTGACTGGTTTAAAATGTGGCAAATGAACCTTAAGTGTAGTCGTGGTGTCTTTCACCGATCAATGCAACCTTTTTTTTTAATTTTGTCAGATGGCAAGAACAGCGAAAGAGGTAAGCCACCAATGACAGGAATGGGCTGTCGCGTTATCTCCTACGCCCTTCTTTTTTTCACCTCCTTTGCTTCCTGGGTGGGTACCTATGGGTACCTCATTAGGTACTCCACTCAGGAGGAGGATGTTTGACGCGCATACACGGGCAACAAACACTGACGCAAAGCTTTACGTACCCTATTCTAAAAACAAAAATATGTATTAGGGTCGCTATTTTTAACGCAAATAACGTATCAGCGCGGAATTGGTGCTCTATGTTTTCCCGTATACAGCAAGCACTGCTTCACTCAGATTTGAGTAGCAAGTAGGCTTAATAATTTTGCCTAATTTGCTGTGAACGTTTCCGACCTTGAAGGCCTCAAGGAATGCACCAAGGTGATCTATGAGCCACATTTTGACAGTCTTGTGTCTTATACACAACTAATTAAAACTACACTTACTTAAGCAAGGGAGCAATGAGGATATTATTTGTAGTTCTTAACTGCATGAAGTGCAATGAATTTCATCGTAGTCACAGGCGGCCGCCTGGATTACAAGTGGCTCGGGTCTAACACTTCCAGGTAGTACACATAAGTACCCTACAAGAGTGTGGGTGGGAGTGCGCTCTCTGTAGCTCGAATGGTACAGCATCTGTCGTGTGGTTCGAAGGTTGTGGGCTCGGATACCACCAACAAAAAGTGTCATTTTTCGTCCTTTTTACTTTCAATGCAAGTGAGGATCATTACACTGCAGTTGACAAAACATAAGATCAATGTATTTGTCGACTTACTTGTCTCGAAATAATTAGTTATGTGTAATACAGGAAGAAATGAGCCCTTGGACAATACCCGTTCTTATGTCCTGTGTCTCGTGCTTGGCAGGACGGTGAGCCCCCCGTGGCGAGACGCATCGTCAAGCTAAGCGTTGCAACCATCCAGCGCAGCGTTTTCATCTCTGTGTCGGTTATGGCCACCGGGGCATGCTGCTGGCCATCGCCTTCCTTGCGTTCAACCTCTACTACCGTAAGAGCAAGTGAGTTTTCAGAGAACCTTTCGTGCAGCTATATTGGATAATCGTACATGACAAGAGGCAACTGCACACTGATAACCGTTCTTGAACATCCCGGACACAAGTGCAAGAACGTTCAGGAATACGAGAATAGACTAGTACACATACTCGCCCCACAGATGAATTTTATTCGAATGCACATGCACAGTCAAACAGTGTTTAATGCGACCACTCTTCACAAGAAATATCGAGACAACTTAAACAAAAAAAAAAACAAAAGCCACACCCGCTGCCCAAAAATTCAGATTTTCAGTATACGCTTGGAAGTTGCATGCGTTTTTCAGGTCAAGATAAATGCTTTTTGACCTCTTTTCTTCAGAGTGGTCACATGGGTGATGAATTGCCATTGTTCAACGGAGAATGCAGATTCGAATAAAATTCGGGCCGTGGCAGTTGCACTTCAATGGGGGTGAAATAGTAGAGGCCCGTGTACTGTGCGATTTCAGTGCACCTTTTTTTGTTTCTGCAAACTGAAAGATAACCTCATCGTATCCTGCACTGAATGAGAGGGAATGACCGCAGGTTAATTTAAGGCCTGCAGCAGCTGCTACAACATTCGTTTCAAAGACTGATGAACAGCCCCGCCGCGGTGGTCTAGGGGCCAAGGTACTCGGCTGCTGACCCGCAGGTCGCGGGATCGAATACCTGCCGCAGCGGCTGCATTTTTGATGGAGACGAAAATGCTGTAGGCCCGTGTGCTCAGACATGGATGCATTGGAAAATACAAAACACAGTAATATATTGTGTAAGCGAAACAAACATGAGATTGATACACTTAGTTAATTATCAGTAATTATAAGCGGAATTATTTCACTTGCGTGGTTTCGAGAAGTGTATTTCAAACGCAACGTCCGGACTCGTGTCTGTATTCATACTTTCTCGTTATATCTGGACAGCTTTCGTAAGCTTGTTATTTCTTGCGTGAATAATAATTTTCTAATAGTTCTGACGCAATGTCGCGGCCCAACTGCTGAGCAGCCTTTAGGTGAAAACCGCGAAAGTCTGCCAAGTCCCAAACACGTAGCGCTCATCGAACGTGGTTGGGAAGCATATACGGTGCTACGTGTTTCGACGACGACGCCATAATGGCTCAAGGCGTATGTTCATTAACTTAATGGTACTATTGTTCTGTTTACAATCGTTGCTCACACAGTCTCTGGCAGTGTTCACGCCAACTTAGTTTAATGTACCGGCGCTAACTAAGCGCCCAGGTTGATGTGTGCACTTGACTTATTCCAATGGAGTCCCCCTTTTCGATCATAGTCTTTCTCATAAAGCAAACAGCTTTTTGGTTGTTTCAAATACAATGTCATCGCTTCGTGTAAACAAAGCGCCCGCATTGCCTCAGTGCCATTCAATAACCACGGTCACTGACCGCAATTTCCGTCTTTCACTCCGCCTGAGTACAACGTTTCCGTCGAATCCTTGTCGACGTGGCAGGCTGTGTTGTGCTTCGAAGCTGTACGCGTCGTGACTGTTACGACGGGAAGGAAAAAAAAAAAGCACACACACATTGCGATTATGGCACTGCGTGAAATTTTTAAAAGTCCTGACACGCATAAAGAAAACATGGTTCGTGTCCCTTCGCCATAAGAATTGGTGTAACGTGAAAATAAAAACGTGTTTTTAAAGTAGTGAATGTTTACTGTACATTGCTATCGGAAAGCATGCACGATGCCTTTGGTGTTCGTAAGCTATAAGCACTGTTTAACGTGGATGCACCCACGTCAACGATCGGTGGCACATCGCCATCTTGATGGAGTCATTACGTAACTAAAATACGTCACTAAAGTCTTGGTGGACCCCGGCATAAAACGCTTTTGTGTTCAAATGCTAAGTGTCAGAAAATGGCACTTACTCAATGCGTTTGCGTTGAGTTAACTCGCAGACAGCTTTCTGAACCTCAGTGATCTTCATGTGGGGGACTGACATTCGTTAATCTGCGTTAAAGTCACGGCCGGCAGCCTGTATAATGTAACGAAAGAATGAAGTGTAAATTTAAAGGCTTGTTTTTTTTTTTGTCAGACATATGTATTAATTAGAATTAACAAGTTTAACCACCTTTATATGCTCATATTTACTCAATAATGTAGACAGGGGAATGCCCGCCGCTGTAGCTCACTTGATATAGGGAAGTGAACGCGTTCTTCGAAGGTCGCAGGTTCGGTTCCTGCCATCGGCGAGTTTTCTTTTCGCCGACTTTTCATTTTTCACTCTTACATTATAATTGCTATTAATAGCATCATTTATATTTTTCTTGCAATCGCCGTTAGCCCTCTATAATACTGTGTCTGATGAAAATTGTAATGAATAGAGGCCTGATTTTTAGGCACCAAAAAGCACGTTATAGGCGCCAAAAATAGGCAGGCCAAACAGCGTTTTAGGCATATAGGCTGGTGAAACAAGTTTTCGGCCTCCAACATGGTAAACGTGGGCACGATAAAATTTGTCATGAACGCATATACTTAAAAAGGTGAAGGGGTGCGTGACCTGTATTTACGACAAGAAAGAAATAAATGTTTTTATGATGGCACGAAGGCGCCAAAAGGAGAACGTAGCCATGAGGTTGCCCTTTTTCCCGCATGGTTTGCATACCACGGTCTCATCTTTCTTTTATTCTCGAGTCATGTGTCCACTCAGTCGAGTCGGAACACTCCTAGGTCTCTTTCTTTCAGAGATGGCTGAGAAGGGTAGCAGATGAGCAGAGAGCCAAACTGTTAAAAGACCAGAAATGTCTCGTACTAACAGGCTTTCATCACGTTTTTTCCCTAACGGAGCGCACCTCGAGAAGTAGATTACAAACAAAACGTAAGCAGGGTAAACATCGCTTTTTTTTTCTTTTGACCTTTGTTCTCTTTTCCCCTGACGGCTTTTCATGGTTTTTTCACCAACCGCTCGCGTCATGTCAGCGCAGTGGCGTTTGGGGACCGCCAAGTCCCGTTTTACTGCTGCTATAGTGGTTCTTTTGCGAAAGCTATTTGAACAAGAAAACTAGGTTGGAACCAGACAGAGTTCCAACTTCCAAGCGGTGAATTTTGCTTAGTAACTTGAAAAACTTGGAACATACGCTTGAGCTTCACCTAGGGTATACAACGCGATCGCGTGAATGAACCCTGCATCGCATCGCCTTCTCTGTCGCTTGTCTTGCTCGGCTGTTTCATGTCGCAGGGAAAGGAGCGTCTGTGCGCCCTTGTATGGGCCCTTTCAAAGTAACCCGCAATGATTACTACAAGTACAATTGCAAAGCTCCTAGTACGACATAATAAGTTGGCCAAGTATCCTTTACACAAGGCGACACACGTACCTGCGAATCTGCACGTCTTGTTATTGCGGCTGCTAATAATTATAATTAATTATGCCCGTGTGCTTTGTAATTGGTGGGCAAGACATTCTTCGGAAAGTCCACATGTACTGACGTCTGCTGTAATTACGACTCTGCCACTAAATATTACCTGTCAGGCTCTCCTTACACATGACATTCAAGTAGTGTTTTTTTGTTTTTACAATCATTCACGAGCATGGGCGTGTCACTGTAGCAAAATACCTGCTCGCCAAGCAGAAGTCTTGGATTTAGCTCCCACATGAGCCAATTTTTTTATTATTCACTTATTTACATCTATCTCAAATTTCTGCCCACGGCAATGGTGATTTTTCGCTCACAACCAACGATGCCAACTCCAGAAGTTTTGCGAAATAAGCCTTTTGATGCTATTACATTGACAAGGGTCTGAAACTGCATGCAAAAATGAACTTTGAGGTTAAATAGCATTCACAGAGGTGCTGACTTTAAAGTTGGGCATTTCTAGGCACTTATAGTCGTTTAGGCACATAGGCCAGAAATTGTCATTTATAAAAAACACCATAAAAGCACTTCTTGATCTCTGTTCATGCACTTATATTGAAGCGAAGCGATAGGAACGCAAGGAACGCAGCAGGAATTTACCTAAAATCCGGGCTCTATTAATGAACGATGTAAGAAAAGCGAGCGTCACCTTCCTGAAACGAGACGACTGGGCAGGTACATCAAGCTGTCCAGTCCCAAGCTGAACAACATGACCGTGGTGGGCTGCTTGCTCGTCTACGTGGCAATCGTTGTCCTAGGCCTGGACTACGACACGCTGGGAAGTGACACCCATTTCACCGTCTTCTGCACTGTGAGTATCCCTCGTTTCTCTTCGTGCGACAGGTGGCACTGTGTGTGTTCTGATCATTGCTCTGCGTGGCTGAGAAGCACAGCCGACAGAATGGAAAACAGAATGACCTCACAAAGATATCGCAGTTCGTTTCGCGCACTACCTCTGGGACTCGTTCGCTGGATTTTGTGCTGACCGGTTGTGCCCCCGCGATCTCTGACGACAGCGCAGCTCTGGCCGACTGGCTCACCCTATGCCATCTTCTGATGCCGACAAGAGCTCTCGCTGAGTAGTGTCCCGTCCTCTGACTTCACCATGTCCCATCTTTCCTACCTTATCCTTATTTCCGTCGTTCACTGTCCCTGCGCCTCGCTCTCTCCTTTCTCTCTCTCTCTCTATCTCTTTTACCTTTAATTCCTATCCTTTTATTTTCTTCTTTGCCCCCCTCCCTCGTGAGCTACTGTTGAGGTATCCTCCCCCTGAGAGACAGTTACGGGGCTCACTTTTCTCTTCTTTTTATTAAGGAATCACCTCCCCCGCGCACTGCCTCTGCACGGCTAGGTCGTATAGTTAGTTCTGTCTGAAAGTTTCTATCTGTTCAAGGAAAGTTACGCTTCAGCGTTTAATCAGAGCGAAATCGAACAGCGCTTTTCACGGTATGTAGTGAGAGCGACAAAGAGTCCATCTTTATTGCAAGTCAATTTCAATACACGGGCAGGAATCGGCATCTCACTTACTTTTTTTCTGAACTGTTCCGTGTTCCAACGAAAACTTTGCAGCCCACCACCAGAACCTTTGATTCGCGCGTCTGGTGCATTTGAGATCACACAGCAGACGGGTGATTGAAAATAAATTCACACAAATTAAAAAAAAAATGGACGAGGGAACGACTATTCTCGTGGCTCGATCGTCAGGTGCTTCATTCGAATGTAGCTGGTTCTGTGCAACCGACAGCAAACTGTCTTTCCGCGCACTTTATTTTCCTCTCCATTTAATTGCACTTGAAACCAACAAATAACGGGCCCTGTATTACGCTTTCTTTGAATTTATTGTTCGTTGGCCTCATTACAGTGAAGGAGTGCGAATATTGCCCGCTTTAGTGAATGAATGTCTCAAACGGGGTGCGAATTGCAATGCATAATCATGTTGGAATGCATATCCCATTACATTTGCTAATGTAACGCTGCCTTTCATTCCTATGTACGTATGTGGATCTATGAATATCAATATATTTTTCTTTTTGTCCTTATTTGTCGTTTTGACACTCTCATAACACTCAGGCGCGTAGCCAGGAGTTTTTTTTTTTTCAGGGGAGAGGGGGAGGGGCACCTATTTTATTTTGGGGAAGGTACCCCCTTGACATGGTCATTTCTCGCTCTTCATGCCATGTCAAAAAAAAAAAAACTTTCGGGAGAGGGGGGGGGGGGCGGGGGCAAGAGCCAGGTGGGCCACCTCCTGGCTGCGCCCCTGATTACACGTCATAAAGAGTGTTCCATTGCTGTTCTCCTTTTCCTTCCTTACTTTTCTATACCCCTTCCCAATATTCTTTATCGTGTCATATTTCCCCACGGCTGGTAGTCGCAAACCAGATATTTTCGTGTTTACCTCTGTGCCTTTCACTGAACATATATATATATATATATATATATATATATATATATATATATAGGCAGGCAATGGTGGTTGAGTGGCCGTAGCGTTGCATATAGTCTAGTAAGTCTAGTAGATCCTCCGTGAGCGGTCACAACGTGGTTTATTTCGACGTTTCGGCCTAGAGTCTGGCCTTCATCAGGAATAAAGATACAGTTGTCGGTGCTCAGCTTTATACAATCTCAATCAGAGGGCAAGGTAGAGGGAAAAAAAAGGAAAGAAAAAAAGAAAGAAAAGGAAAGAAAAAAAGAAAAAAGGGAAAAATAATATACGGTGAACGCCCCTCGGGTGCCCCCCTTCCACTTTTCCCTCCACTCCCCCCCCATCTCTCTCCCCCCTCTCCCCTTCACCTTTCTGATGTCAGCGGTCTGTGTATGTTCCGTTCACTAGCGCATTCCTCCCGATCAGACGGCCCCTCCTGGCACTGGCGGTTCGGTGTGGGGCAAAAAAGAGCTTTTCAGGAAGTCCTAAGCCTTTAACTACTCGGGGTCCCGTAAACAATTCGTCGTAGAAGGACGGGGGCCGCGTATTGTGGCAGAGGCTGGTCAGTGGGCATTTTAGGAAGTTCTAAGCCTTTAACTACTCCGCGCCCTGTCAACATTTCGTCGTAAAAATAGGGGTGCCCCGTATTGCGGTAGGCTGTGCAAGCGCGTGCAATGCGAATTCCTGGCCTGCTTCTAAATTACGCGTGTCGTGGGGGCGTCCCGGCTGTGCACATGGTTGCTGTTGGGCATGTCGTGCATGGCACAATTGATTGGGTAGTAAAATAAAACAGAAAACAGAAAACAGACGACAGCTGCGACAGCTGTCGTCTGTTTTCTGTTTTATTTTACTACCCAATCAATTGTGCCATGCACGACATGCCCAACAGCAACCATGTGCACAGCCGGGAGGCCCCCACGACACGCGTAATTTAGAAGCGGGCCAGGAATTCGCATTGCACGCGCTTGCACAGCCTACCGCAATACGGGGCACCCCTATTTTTACGACGAAATGTTGACAGGGCGCGGAGTAGTTAAAGGCTTAGAACTTCCTAAAATGCCCACTGACCAGCCTCTGCCACAATACGCGGCCCCCGTCCTTCTACGACGAATTGTTTACGGGACCCCGAGTAGTTATAGGCTTAGGACTTCCTGAAAAGCTCTTTTTTGCCCCACACCGAACCGCCAGTGCCAGGAGGGGCCGTCTGATCGGGAGGAATGCGCTAGTGAACGGAAACATACACAGACCGCTGACATCAGAAAGGTGAAGGGGAGAGGGGGGAGAGAGATGGGGGGGAGTGGAGGGAAAAGTGGAAGGGGGGCACCCGAGGGGCGTTCACCGTATATTATTTTTCCCTTTTTTCTTTTTTTCTTTCCTTTTCTTTTCTTTTTTTCTTTCCTTTTTTTCCCTCTTACCTTGCCCTCTGATTTGAGATTGTATAAAGCTGAGCACCGACAAACTGTATCTTTATTCCTGATGAAGGCCAGACTCTAGGCCGAAACGTCGAAATAAACCACGTTGTGACCGCTCACGGAGGATCTACTAGACTATATATATATATATATATATATATATATATATATATATATATATATATATATATATATATATATATATATATATATATATATATATATATATATATTGCAACGAGCAAGGTTGCGTAAAAACACAGGTTATTATTCCAGAAACGTTAGCCGCAACAAGCTGGTACAGGCAGGAACCCGGCAAGCACGAGCCACACACGGACGTCAACGTCTTCTTTCACGCTGGCACAGAGCTGGCGCCACTATGCTTCGGTACAATTACTCCCCGCGCAGAAAGGAGCCAACCTGGCGACCTAGGGAAAGGACACGACAAGGGGGTCATAGCACGGTTTGAGGCGTGATACGTGTACTGTTTCACGCCCACGGCAGCGTTGGTCCGAGGGTGGATCAATGGGCTCAACTTCATAGTTGACAGGAGATGTTTGCCGCACCACACGGTAGGGGCCATGGTATTTCGACGAAAGCTTCGGGGAAGACCGGGAGGGGTAGACGGGACCCAGAGCCAAACCAGCATTCCTGGGTTATAGTGTACAGTAGACGCAGAGGAATCGTGGTCAGTTTTCTGGCGCCATTGGTCTTGTGCGGTAAATGAGCGAGCGAGTTGACGACACTCTTCGGCATAAGCAGCTGCTTCGGAAACAGGCGTCGCTTCGGAAACATCAGGCCTATAAGGGAGAATGGTGTCCATGGAGCATGATGGCTCACGTCCGTACAGGAGGAAGAAAGGAGAAAAGCCAGTGGTTGTTTGTGGCGCAGAGTTGTACGCGTACGTGACAAAAGGGAGCACTTGGTCCCAATTAGTGTGGTCGTCAGAGGCGTACATGGCAAGCATATCTCCAAGGGTACGGTTAAAGCGTTCTGTCATGCCATTGGTTTGGGGATGGTATGCCGAGGATTTCCGTATGGACAGTGCGACATGCCTTGAGTAGCTCGTCGACGGCGTTCGAGAGAAACACGCGTCCACGGTCACTGAGTAATTCACGAGGTGCACCGTGTCGCAAAATGAGATGGTGAAGAAGAAAGGACGCAACGTCTTTCGCAGTGGTAGCAGGCAGCGCAGATGTTTCAGCGTAGCGTGTTAAATGATCCACGGCGACGATAATCCACCGGTTGCCTCGAAGAGAGTTGGGTAGAGGACCATAAATATCAATTCCGACGCGGTCGAATGGTCTCGCTGGGCAGGTTAAGGGTTGCAAAGGGCCAGCAGTGCTGCTGAGAAGGCGTCTTGCGTCGTTGACACGTGGTGCATGACCGAACGTACTGGCGAACGTGCCGATACATGCCGCGCCAGTAGTATCTTAGACGAAGGCGAGAGTAAGTCTTAAATACTCCAGCGTGGCCACACTGGGGGTCATCGTGAAAGGCAGCGCAGATGTCCGAACGCAAATGACGAGGGATGACAAGAAGCCACCTACGGCCATCCGTCACGTAATTGCGGCGATACAACAAGCCTTCACGGACAGCAAAGTGTCTTGCTTGACGAGAGAGGGAGCGTGAAGTCGTTTCTGACGAACTGTGAGAGAGGACGTCGAGCAAAGAATTGATCCAGGGATCCTTGCGCTGTTCGGATGGCATGTCAGTGATGCTCAACGATGACGAATCGCAAATGGCAGTTGATAAGCAGGCAAGGTTAGGAGGCAGTGGAGAACGGGATAGTGCATCGGCGTCTGAATGTCTGCGTCCTGAGCGATAAACAACACGGATATCGTATTCCTGAAGCGTAAAGCCCAACGAGCGAGGCGGCCAGTAGGATCTTTCATGGACGTTAACCAGCATAAGGCATGGTGATCCTGACAACATCAAACTGGCGTCCGTAAAGGTAGGTGCGAAATTTTCCTATAG